AAATAATATTTGTCTCTCTATCTGTCATGTATTCGTGAAAAATCATCTTAAACACAGTCAACCTTACGAAGTGGAGAAAACCGAATGGTCGACTGAAGATCAGCTTAAGTTCGCTACTGCGTGACAATTACATGGTCAACGGGGACATCAAAACATTGACAGACACGCAGTAGGCAACCCCCCCCCCCCCCCCCCCCCCCTCTCTCTCTCACACACACACACACCCCTCCCCCCCCCCCCCCCCCCCCCCCCCCCCCCCCCCCCCCCCACCCCGCTGCGGGCCGCCGAACCCCGCCGAACCCCCGCCAAACAGCGGTCAGACCCGCGCGTTCAATCTCGTTGAACGCCGTTAAAACGCGTTAAATCGCGTTCAATCGCGTTTAACGCCGTTGAATTAAAAATTCAACGACGGTCGTCGGGTTGGCGCACGCTCGATTTCATCCGTCGTCGACCCGCTCCGCCGCTTCCCCGCCATCGTCGCTCCGCTCCGACGCGCTCCACGCTCCACGCTCCGCGCTGCTCTCTCTCTCTCTCTCCGCGCTGTAAGGCGCACGGACAGCCTCTCTCGCGCGCTATGGCGCACCTCTCTCTCTCTCTCTCTCTCTCTTTCTCTCTCTCTCTCTCTCTCTCTCTCTCTCTCTCTTCGCGCTGTAAGGCGCACTCTATCTCTCTCGTGCGCTATGGCGCACCTCTCTCTCTCTCTCTCTCTCTCTCTCTCTCGCGCGCGCGCGCGCGTGCGCGCGCGCGCACGCGCGCATGTTCCAACCTGACAGACAACCCGTTCGTCGCGTTGGAGCAATAGTGCTCGCGCGCCAAACGAGCTGCGGCCGAACGCGCTTGCGCGTTAAGTACCTGTTCGGCCCGTTCCCCCTGCGCCAACTACCAGGAGGCCGCCACAGGCCGGTGCCCCGCAGTTTTTTTTTTTTCTTTGAAAAAAAAAAAAAAAAAAAAAAAAAAAAAGAATGCACGAGGTGGTACCCGACAACGAGTACTACCACCCCGCACCTTCACAAAACCCCCTCCCCCCCTCCGACAGCGCAAAATAACGGTTCGCGGACCCCATTCATTCGCGTCCAACGCGCGTTTGAACGGGGATTGAACGCGAATTGAACGCGTGTTCAATTTTTTAACGCGGACCCCGCGTTAAATCGAATTTCAGATACACAGCTCCGCACATAGGTTATCACATCCCCTTTCATTCCTGTTGATTCAAAGCGTTCTCTTACGTCGGCATACATCTTCTTGAAACCGAAATGTTCCTCAGTATCATGACCTTCCCCAATAATTGAACTTTTTATTGGTTCTTTCTAAGGAATACAATTTTTTTCTTCGGTCTTATCAATGAAGAAGAGTAACCCATTAGTCATTCGATATTCATAAAAAAGTTTAAAGTTCTTTTGTAGAGTTCCAATAATAAGACTTCATATAGTATCATCTGCATAACCCTTACGAATTTGCTCCGAGTCTTCCAATTCATTCCCAACATCGAGATAGAAGACGATCCTCCCAAATAAATCAGCACCCGTAGATAAAGCATCCACAACCATATTGGACTTTCATTTAATCGTTTTTAGTTCAAAGTCAAATGTGTCTATGAAGGCAGACAATATTACTAATTTGTTAGAATGTATAGGTTGAGTCTTAATCCACTGCAGTGTAGAGTGGTCTGAATAGACAGTGCAGTGCTTCCCGAACAAGTAGTGTTTCCAGGTGTCAAGTACAACAACCAAGGCATACAATTCCTTTTCATATGTGGAGTTGACCACTTTTTCATATGGCAGTCTTCTCGACATAAACTCGATAAAAAAAAAAATTATTATCTTATTTCGATTATCATATTCCATGAATTCATGGAATATGATAATCGAAATAAGAGAATAGATTTTTTTTTCTAATACTCAAATTCAATTTATTAAGAATTTATTATCATTCTTTCTGCGGCTTCTACAATTTGACTTGGTTGAATAACAGTTAAATCTTCTAAAAAACCATTATATGGAGTAGGAACATCCTGTGAAGACAAAGACATTATAGGATATCCCTTACCATCGTCTTGCTGTAATACAACCTCAATCTCATACTGACTTGCGTCAGTCGTGACAATGAAAGGGAAAAAAGGATCAACAATCTTTACGATAGGGTAGTGAGTCAGTACATACTTCTATTTTTTGAACGACAACTCACAATCTTTTGTTCCATAACCAAAGTTCTTCTTTCTTCAGTAGTTTTTTCGTAGGCGCTGCTATTAAGGAAAACTTCTTTACTAATTTTCTATAATAACTACCAAGTCTTGGGAAATCATGAACTTAGTGACAGTCTTAGGTTAGAGTCAATCTCGAATTTTTGTCATTTTTTTCTCTTCGGGCCTTAGTTCTTCTCCGTTCATTTTATACCCTAAGTATAGCACTTCAGACTTAGAGAACACTGACTTCTTATGATTCAGTTTGAAGTTGCCCTCGCGCAACTTCTGAAAAACCATTCGTAGTTGTTTCTCGTGATCCTCAAGTATCCTGCTATACACGAGGATATCGTCGAGATGGAAACTACGAAATAATCCAACCATTGACGAAATAGTTCATTCATAAACTTTAGAAAGGTAATAGGAGCATTAATCAACTCGGAAGGCATAACCACGAATTCGGTGGTAACATGCTTGGTTCGAAATGTTGTCTTGTGTTGATCATCGAGAGCCACCTCGTTCTGGTGGTAACATGACTTGAGATCAATCTTATGAAAATATTTACATTCCTGCAATTGGTCCAGCGAGTCGTCAATGCGCGAAAATGGTTCCGCGTTCTTGATAGTGACGGCATTTAACCGAATAATAATTAATGCATAATCTAAGTTCAACTTTTTTTTTTGCTACAAACAAAACAAGAGCACCATAAGGAGATGAGCTAAGGCGACTCCAGCCTTTTTCAATCAGTTTGTGAAGTTGTTTCTTTAATTCCTTAAGTTCCTGAGGAGGCATATGATTAATGGGACCCTTGGAAATCTTGCTTCCGAGAATAATCTCGATTATATGCTTAATAACACGCTCAGTGATTTCCATCGGCTCAGTCTGCAAGTCTTTGTACTCGTCAAGTAATTTCGCAATAGAAGGAGGGTAGGATGAGGAACAATTTCTTACTCGTTTAATGAGGATCATCATCACATTCTGATCCTACTTCTTCTTCGAGACCATAGTTCTCAAGGCTAGATGACTCATACAACAAAAAGACGATGTCGAGTCAAAGTTAGACCTATGATACAACTCAATTGCTCTAAGTTCGCCCTTTTCGTCCTTTAGCTTTACAATTTTCTCTTTGACCTTAGACTTCTGGGCCGGCTTCCTGATGCCAATCCATTCGCAAAATCATGTCAAACGGTGTTTTTTTTCAATTAGGAAGAATACGTCGTGTAAGATTTTTTTTCCTTCCTTACCCCTCAAATAACATTTACCACGATCAACATATTGAGAGACAATGATCGTGCATAGACGTGATAGGTTCAGGAAGGTCTCTTACTTTCATCCCCAGCTACAACTTACGAATCGTTTTGTTAACTTTTTATGAGATGTAAAACCGCGCCGATTCTGGGTCTAACAGGGCACCTACTCGCGTAGGTACAATCTCAATATCTGCAATCATCACCCTCATACTTAGTTTTCCTAGCACATGAATTCCTACAAGCTACAAGTTCATTACCGAGTTCATCAAGGAAATCGTTGAGTGAGATAAAACACAAAACAATATTAAGGTGTTCTGGAGGACGAGCCGAAGAAAAGTCATCCTCTACCATACGAGTCGGGGGGTTAAAAAGGGTTATTGACGTTTTACCTTTGTCTAAACCCCTCAACTCAGTAGGAGCAGATGCTATACTCCTACTGGCTGCTCCATTTTGGGTTTCGAATGAGAGGGCACCATGTTATGGCGTGCCCTACAGTGCCGCATTTTAGGCACTACCTGTTATCCATTCTTTCCTGCCACTCTTCCCATGACAAACCCATCTTCTACCAAGGTTTTCTGGCTACAATGCAGGGATGCTCGAGAAAGGTGCGTGACCTCCTCTTCTTGTTCCATGGTTTGGTACCACCCTCGTTGGCCACCACAGCAATGATATCACTCTTTCCTGATTCACTGATGTTTGCACCTCCACCCTTGGCCTCATCACGGGGTAATTTTTCCTTGTTGTCGTCGTCAAAGACGACGAGCATGTGGTCTTGTCACTTTTATCACCACATGACACGTTTACCGTACCCGCTAACCGGACCACTCTTCATAATAGATGTATACGTCCCTTTCACATATGCGGTCATTTTCTCCCTTTGGAGCGCGAGGTCATGAAACTGCTTATAGTTATACTTACCGGATTTCGCCTAAGCCACGAGATGTCATCGGATGTGTTTTGGCAAAGCTCGTGAGAAGATATGAAGGACTTGGTTATCCTGCAGGTTCAAACATGGTACCTGCAACAACCGATCGACCTCACGAAACAATGCATCCGCAGTGGACCAATGCTTTTGGCCTATTGTGGTGAGCTCGTCGAAGACCTTGTCAGCCGTCGTTTTGTGAAGGAACCGCTCCTTAATATTTTGGAGGAATTCCCTGAGGGTCAATGTTTGACCCACTCACTTTAATCCTCGAAGCCAGCAGCACTGGCTTCAGACAAAACCCATTCCTTGGCTATTTCTCCTAAACAGGACGTCGTGAAAACCAC